TGGCCAGATTTCATTGTTTCTCATTGCCATGTAGTATTCCATGGTATAGATGAACCACATCTTCTTGATCCATTCGTCCGCTGATGGACACTTAGGCTCTTTCCATGTTTTAGCTATTGTTGAGAGTGCTGCTATGAACATTGGGGTACATGTGCTCCTATGCCTCAGCATTTCTGTATCCCTTGGGTAAATTCCTAGCAGTGCTATTGCTGGGTCCTAGGGGAGTTCTAGTGTTAGTTTCCTGAGGAACCTCCACACTGTTTTCCAGAGGGGCTGTACCAGTTTACATTCCCACCAACAGTGTAGGAGGGTGCCCGTTTCTCCACATCCTCGCCAGCATCTAGAGTTCTCTGATTTGCTCTTTAAATAAATATTTCTTGATGATATAAATGATTAGATCTTACTTTCTGACTCCTCTTCTCGACTGCATTTTTCATTCCTCCTAGACTGACTGTAGTGGCTTCAGTGTAACGGTTCATGGTAAAACTTTTCTCTCCTCATATGTCTGCCTTGCTTCTCTTTTCTTAAATCCACACCTATGCCACTCACTGCAGGAAGAACTCAGAGATCAAGTGGGATCTGCTAAAAATGCCCATGATGCGGAAGCACAGCTGACAATCGAAAGCTCTTTCATGGGGTGCCTGGGTGGCTTAGTCGGTTGAGCGTCCGACTTTTGCTTAGGTCATGATCTCGCGGTTCGTGGGTTCGAGCCCCGCGTCGGGCTCTGTGCTGACTGCCAGCTCGGAGCCTGGAGCCTGTTTCAGTCTGTGACTCCCTCTCTCTCTGACCCTCTCCTGCTCACGCTGTCTCTCTCTCTCTCTCCTAGAAATAAATAAAACATTTAAAAAAAAAAAGAAAAAAAAAAAAAAGAAAGCTCTTTCATGGCATGCAGATATAAAAGGGAAAAAGCTCAAAAGGGGAATTTCACCTGCTAACATTGGGAAGTTTGTCTTTAAATTTCCTTAAGAGCCTAGAACTAGTGATTCTCATCCTATTAGTCCCAACTCTTCCTTTTATGACAAATATTTTGCCAAAGATAATACGTTCATCTATCCATATAACTTTTAAAAAATCTATTTTTAATTCCTATATCTGTATCTTATATCTCTAATGTAAAAGAGAAAGGTCAAGAAAGTAAGCCATGATAAACTACTCTCAGAGTGTACGCTGACTCTGTTATGTGGGAGACACGGTGAAGTAGGCAGATGTGTGCACCTGTCACAGAGCCAACCACGAATGTGCAGACCCCCCCTGCCCCGGGGCAGACTGGTGTAGGTGGGAGCCAAGCATGGTGCCATTGCCTTCAGTGTTATGATTTTCCAAATCGATGACCAATTCTTGTAAAAGCTCCAGACACAACAAACTATACTCTTTCCTCAGCGTACATAATAGTTGCATTCCTTGAAAATGTAGAAGATATTTAACCTATGCAAAAATACTGTTTATATGTACGACCACTACATATTAGGCTAGGATCATTATAAAGGAGTTTTTCATCTATGAGGATGTTAAGGGGAGCATTTGGAAGTCAGGTCAGACATGAGACAATTCATTGTGCAGGAAGAGCTCCACACATTGAAGGACACAGAACAGTTCTGTCCACACCCTCTGCCATCACTGGTACAACCAAAAACCAGTGGTTGTGAAAAAGCCCCCTAAAGTGTGGTATCAGACCTATTAAGAACCACTGCTATTAAACAGCAATAAATCTGGTTCTATTTTATTAGTGAAATTATTACAGAAACCTGCATTATGACACTATCATTTCGAACTATTACTATTTGTGTTGCTACTAGACTATAAGCCTATTGAGGGTCAAGGCCATATCTCACTGTATCCAGAAGGTCCAACACAGTGTTACACAATGAATTGGTGCTCAGTAGCTCTCTGTTGAATGGATACAGTCTGATGAAGATCTACTTTATTTTCAAGGGAATTGACCTTGATTTCATTAGTAATACACATACCACTTTTTATCAAACTTCATTGTTAAGACAACACTATTAAGGGATTAAATACTGGACTATAAAAAAGGAGAAAACAGTCGATGATCTGTTAGAGAAAGCCGTCTTTCTTCATCTGTTGAATTTTTGAAATATAATGTGTGAGAAAGGAGATTCTAGCAACATTTACAGACTCTGTGGTGTTTTCCTTTAAAAAAATATACTCTTCGTTGTTATAAAACAATTGACAGCTTCTTGCCAATGATAGGGCAGAGAAAAACAATAAAGATGGTCTATCCCCAGGGACATTACTGTCCATTTGGAGAGATGGTCTGAACATCTAGAACCATTAAAGCTAATAATCAAGTATCGTGTGGAATAGTGGTGTCCTTACATACAGTGAGAGACCAGGGCAGAGAAGACCATGAGTAGTCAGACAGCTCATAGAAGAGGAGGGCTTGAGCAGCATGTGAAGTGGTGAACAGAACTGGAGCTGATAAAGAGGACCACATTTTAGGCAAAAGGAGAAGAATGTAGCAAATGCTGGAGGTGGCAGTGACCATCAGGGGAGTGGCCAGGATAAAGGCAGGGAGAGGTCAGGGGTAGTGCTGACGGTGGGTAGAAGGAGAAGTTTGCTTGTTGGGGAAAAATGTAAAGGAAGTTGGTTGACAGAGGAGGGACCAGACCAATTATTTAGTTTTGCCAAAATTACTTTTAAATATCCAGTGTTAACTATATGCTGCATCTTGAGAAAAAAAAATTTCCGCTAGAAATTTGTGTCAGTGAAAATCAAATGTTTATGGTTAGATTTTGGATTGAATGCTTAGTAATTATATTAAGTATCCAAAAGCAAGAATGAGAAAAGAGAAAATGTTAACTTTTGTTATTATTTCATTTTATTACAGTTTATTTTTTTAATTGTCTTCATTCAGTTAACTAATGTTTAAGTAGATTAGAACACAAAGTTAGAGGAAGGTTATATGCCGAGCTATGCGTGGCTTGGAATCAAAAGTCACTTACAACTATGCCACCTTAGGCGATAACCTACCCTTGATGCACCTTAGTTTTCCCATCTCTAAAATAGGGGCAATAGCTCATTCATAAACACATATGCAAGTCTTTGGGTCAAATGCAATAGCATGTAAAATAGCCCATTTTGTGGCACATGAAAGGTACTTCATAATTACTAGGTCTCTTACTAGGTTGAAATAAGATATTCTATCCCTTTAAGATTAAGTACAATTTGTGTTCAATCATGGAACTATTTAAGCTCATAAAACTTACATCTTACATCAGCCAATCAAGCATTACTTGAGTGACCCTGGATTCTCTAAACTTCAGTTTCTTTGTCTACAAAACAGGGATAATATACCAGACTCATAGAGTTGTTACAAGAATTAAGTAAGATGAATCATGAAAAGTGCTTTAACATACTCGCTGGCACATATCAATCTCTCAAAAATACTCTCATTAGTATAATCATGCTATTAATGTTATTATGATGCCTATTACATGCTATGCACATACACTGTCTCTTTCTATCTTTATTACAGTGCTAAGTGGTATGAGTTTTTTTATTTCAGCTTTACTGAGGTATAATCAATGTGAAAATTGTAAGATAGTTATAGTGTGCATTGTGGTGATTTTATATGAAAAGGTTCCCCCCTCCCATGTAGTTGATTAACACATCCAGTGACAGGTATTATTAATGTTCCTATGTTTGTATGAGCAGGAAACTGAAGAATGGGGAAATCGAATGACTTGCTCAGGGTCACCAATTGCTTAATTGAAGAGGTTAGACTGGAACACAGATCTTCTAGTTCCGAATCTGGTGCAGTTTCCCCTATGCCAGCGCTGTCTCAAGGCTTTGTAGTGTGCCAGGATAACCCTTTCCTACAGCCTCCACCTAAAAAATGATTCATGGAGGGGCACTGGGGTGGCTCAGTTGGTTAAGCATCTGTCTTCAGCTCAGGTCATGATCCCACAGCTTATGTGCCAAGCCCTGCGTCAGGCTCTGTGCTGACAGCTCAGATACCGGAGCCTGCTTTGGATTCTCCCTCTCTCTCTGCCCCTCCCTTGCTCACACTCTGTCTTTCTCTCAAAAATAAATAAACATTAAAAAATTTTTTAAATGATTCATAGAACAGTTTGTGAAACATTGGACAGAATAGCAAACATTTCCTAAGACCCCAGAGCCTCAAGTAACATATTATATGGTACCCATCCTGTCTTGCACACACTCTGCTTTTCCAATGATGAAGAAAGAGATGGAACAGGGAGCCCTATTCTCATCAGCTCCTTTTTGTCATCGATGCACTTCTCCCAGTGCCTTCATGCTGACACAGAGGACTGTGGGGGTCAGATGGGATATTTGACTTGTAGGATTTATTCAACACAGTTTACCTTTCAGTACTGATCACTGCTACCTGGGATTGGAAATGTGTTCGACTTACCACCATCTAGTTCACAGGATCGATTTTTTTTTTTAACATGGTTGTGATTCAGTATTAATCATTTCCTTGGTTCCATTTAGAGTGTTAATATTCCTCATGAAAATAAATATTTTGGAGGTACAGCTAGAACATAAACAAACATGGAAGCGTAGGTCCTGCAAACCTAGACATATGTTGGGTTGTGGAAGTTGCCATCTTGGCTCCATATGTAGTATTGGTCTTGGCACACGGCAGACTTCTAGCAAGTTGGAAATAAAGTTTATGGGAGCAGGCAAATGTTAAACATCTGCCAAAACGAATTACGAAACAAAAATCTTATTGACTGAAAATGTTTGTGCTTTTCAATTACCTGAACATCATGATGCTCAGTATTTCTGAGCTATGTGAAAGGCCTCAACTCTTGACATTAGGACTCAGGATTCCTCAAAGGAATGGAAATAGGAGGATGTCCTGTCCCCCTCCTCTTTAGTATTCAAGGACAAGTCTTTTTTTCAAGATCTCTGTAAGATTGTCTGGTTATTTTTTTTTAACTGGATTACTGTGATTGGAAGTATATGGGTTCATCTGCTAAGCAGAGTCTGTGCCAAAAGAACCTTTGGAACAACAGCAAAATTCATGAGATTCTTGTGCGTTTCACTCTGTTCTTTGAATGCTGGCTTCTTGAAAGATCTATGGGCAGCCACAGGCGCAGCCAGAATTAGCACAGCCAGAATTCACCATCTGCCGCTGCTCTTGGGAGGATGAGAAGAAGATGATAATTTTTAATATTATTAATTATTCTTCATTAGACATTTATTAAGATTCCACAGTCTTCTACTGTTGGAGCTCATGCTCTAAATTAAGCAGATTTAAGAAACAGAAATGTCTGTCTACTTTGAAAAAAAAAAAAAAACGACCAAACAAGCTCTCAGAAAACAATTTATAGTAACTGTACTTAAAATTTTTTTTATCTTATATATTGGGAGATCCAATGGGTGGATAATGCCTTCAGCTGAAGAAATGTAAAACAGAAGTTGGATGTTCTGATACTTTGACTAGAATCTGTAAATGGAGACAGATGTTTAAAGGTGGACCTTTACTATGAGGAGTACCTATATTTCACTCATCAGTTGTAGAACCAGATTAATAAAATTTCAGCTTTGGTAAAGGACCCTGGAGTTGCCTGACCCTGTGTCCTTTGCAAGAAACTTTTCACTAATATCCTCATAGAGGGTATGTCTGTCTTCTGTTCTGATACCTTCAGTGACCAGAAACTCAGAACCTCCAGAGTAAATTCATTCACTCAGCCTATTTATTGAGTACCTACTATGTGCTTGTCTTAGTGGAGCATAGCTCTAGCCAGAGGAGTCAGCTAATAAACAATAAATTCATTAAATAAGTAAATTATATTTTGGAGTGCTCATTCATTCCTCTTTGGATGTCTCTTTTTGTCAGAAAAATTTCCCTTGTATTTTCTTCTATGTAATAGTTGCTTAGGTATGTGAAGAAAGTATTCATTCCCCTCTTAATTTACCTCATTTTAAAATCAAACACTCAGTCGGTTAGGCAGTTACTTAGGAAATATTCATTTGCTGGGGCTTCTCTAATAAAGTACCGCAGACTGGGCAGGGTAAACAACAGAAGTTGGCTCAGAGTTCTGAAGGCTAGAAGTCCAAGATCAAGGTGTGGGCCAGGCTGGCTTCTTTAAAGCCTCTCTCCTTGGCTTGCAGATGGCTGTCTTCTGTGTTTGCACATCATCTTTTCTTTCTGTGTGTCTGTGTCTTATCTCTTCTTAAAAGTCATATTGGATTAGGACACTAGTGATCCCATTTTAACTTAATTAATTCCTCAAAGACCCTACTCCAAATACAGTGACATTCTGAGGTATTAGGGTTTAGGACTTCAACACGGGAATAGGAGATGCATAATTTAGCCCGTAACATATATCCTCTTACATAGGAATATGCACAAGCAGGCAGGTAACTCCACAGAATAGAATCAAGCAGGATGGTCACATCCCATGTTCTAGACATCTAGACTATCTTTTATAGCCCCAGCATTGTTAACTGGCATTGAACTTGTAGTCAAAGAGAAAAGCCAGATCTTTCAGTGACTTGTTTGTAAGTCCCATTTTCCTCCATCCTTTGTTTGGAACGTTCATTCGTTTAGTTATTTATTCTGTAGATGAGTCCTGAGCATCTGCTGCATTGTAGCTATTGCACAGGTAAGGAAACAAGCAGATATTATCCCTACTTTCTTCGAGGCTTAAATTATATCCATGACAGCTTTGATATACATGTGAACAAACAAATATATAATTATAAATTGATATATGCTATGAAGTGAATGAACATATAAGACAGGCATCCTATTTTGATAATTTGGGGAGGGGTCCCAAAGGACAGAGTTTTGCTGTTATGAATACAATAAAATATTTTAAATATTATACATAATAGTAATATAAATATATTCATGTAATATAAATTATGATAATTTTATTTTAATAAAATAAATAAAATATTACACATTAGATTTGGCCCATATTTCACTCTTTAGTCATTTCCAGGAGAGAGCCTGGGTGTCATTAGTTATATACGTACCCCCTAACTTCACTTTATCCTCCAGTCAGATGGGTATGATGCATCTGCCTTCATCCAAATTATAATCAAAATGTCTAACAAATCAGAACGGTACTGTTGTTGTCCGAGAACCAACATTAGTTAAAGGTCTAGCCATCGCACAGAAACCAGAGCTCTAATTAGAAATAATAACAAGAGTCAAGCTGCCCTCTGCTAAGTCTTCTGTATCACTAGCCTGAGTCTTAAATAGTTCTCTGCTTCTGCCACATTTATCACAAAAGGCCTTTCAAGTTGTCTGTCTGATGATTTTTGAAAGGTCAAGTCCATTTAAAGAGTTTCACTTGTAATGAATGTGGGGAAATGAAATTGTTTTCAACCTAACCAGAGAGAATACCATTCGCAAAACAGCATGTGTGTGTCTTATAGTACCATGGCTCAAAGGTGATGCCCACCAGATTCTTCTAACTGGACTGGACCTGTCCTTGCAGGCCCAGTGCAGAAGCCTTGAGGAGGCATGGGCCCAAGGCCAGGACACACCCAGACCAACTCTGCGGCATCCTCTCTTCTTACCTCAGGCTTTCACAACCAGTTCTGTGCTTGCTGCCCAGGCCCAGCTGGTTTCCCCCCACTCAGCTCCCATGTTTGTCATGGACCATCACACCTCGTACTTCAATAAAAGGCACCCCACATCTCCTGGCTGTCAGCACACCGAACTGACTTTCTTTCTGGTCAGTGTACAGGAAATTCAATCAAATTCAGAGAATTGGAAGTTGAGTTCAGCCAGCAGGCACCTCAGCTTAGACCATCACTGAGTTACCAACCCCCAGGTGATGGCAGCCTCACATCCGGGCAGCATGCTAATAACAATAGAGAAAATGAAATACTTTCAGAAACAAACCTGACCTTTAATTTCGCATGGACCATATCTTGTCAAGGTTCATGAGCAGACAGGTACTGCTGTGAGCATTTTTGGATGTGGATATATTATTTGACATGTTTGCTTCTTGATTTGGCACATTATAGTCCATGATATGCATAGAGCAAGTTAAATTGTAATAGTTTTCACTCATTCATTTACTTCTTCATTCAGTATTCCATGAGCACCCATCTTGTTGCACTCAGCATTGTTCTGGGTACTTGGATTAAAGTAGGGAATAAAACAGGGGCACCTGGGTGGCTTAGTTGGTTAAGTGTCTGACTTCGGCTCAAGTCATGATCTCCTGGTTTGTGAGTTCAAGCCCCAATTCAGGCTCTGTGCTGACAGCTCAGACAGAGCCTGGAAACTGTTTCAGATTCTGGGTCTCTCTGTCTCTCCTGCCCCTACCCCACTTGCGGCTCTCTCTCTCTCTCATTCTCTCTCTCTCTCTCTAAAAATAAATAAACATTAAAAAACATTTTTTAAAGTAAGGAATAAAACAGACATAACCTCTGGACTCTCAGATCTTATATGCTGGTGGGTATGAGAGACACACTATGAGCATATGTGTATTATTCAGAAAGTGACAGATGCTTTGAATAAAGTAAAGCAAGGAAAGGAGGATACAGGGACAGGGGAATGAATTCTTACCTTGTATAGGATGCTCAGGGAAGATCTTGGGGACAGGCAGCGACCTGAAGAAAGTAAAGCAGTAAACCATGTGGACATCTTGGGAGAAAGAGTTCAGGTGTAAGGAAGAGCATGTGCAAAGCCCCTGGGTGTGGCCTGTTCAAGGAATAGCAAGGAGGCCTTTGTAGCTGGAGTAGAGCTAGTGCTTTTTTAAAAAATTATTTTAGTTTTGAGAGAGAGAATGAGCAGGGGAGGGGCAGAGAGAGAGATGGAGACACAGAATCCATAGCAGACTCCAGGCTTTGAGCTGTCAGCACAGAGCCCAACACAGGGCTCAAACTCATGAACCATGATACCATGACCTGAGCCGAAGTCAGATGTTTAATGGACTGAGCCACCCAGGCGCCCCATAGTGCTTATTCTTCATTGCTGGTGTTTCAGAAAGTGTAACAGAAAATCAGATTGATTCTTCGGTAGACTTGCCCTGTGTTGTTATTGCTGTTTTCATTATTAACTCAAAGTACATGAGAAAAGAGTATTTTTATTCTATGTTCTTAACTGGCTGAGGAGTTAGTCCTGGTGTGTGTGTGTGTGTGTGTGTGTGTGTGTGTGTGTATTATGCATATACATATACATGTATGTTTAATGAATCAGGAGAACAGCTGAAACTTAAATTTTTATGCTTAAGTGTGAGAGAGTAAGAGTTCCTTATCTACCTAATTTAAAAAGCCCTCAGTGGTCTCTTATCTAGTCTGTTATTAGCAATCACTCCTACAGGTGCTATTATTTTCATCCTCCAAATAAAGCACAGGAATTGAGTAAGGGCCAGAGTAGTTAGAAATGTAAGAACTCTGCTTCTGTGTTCATTTCCTCACACCTGTTTACCACAGGAGCAATCCCATTGGTGGCAGATGATTTAATAAGCAAAATCCGGCGTGTGGTTACTTCCTGAAGTCAGTCTTTTCAAGCACGGTCAGCCTTACCTGAGCTCCTGGGAGCCCATCTCTGGGCACTATGCTTCCTGAGAAATTTTTGGGAATTTTTTTCCATTGCCAAGCAAGTGTTTTTCATGCTTCTAAGTGTTTCCATGTATCAGGTTCTAAAAGGCCACTCTGTGGGGAGCAGAGTGTGTGAAGGTGATGTGCCAGACAAACCTGGCTGTTTGTCCAGCTGGAGTGGTTCCAACAGCCCGATGGGGCTGTGACTGTCCTCCACCAACATACCAGTGACCTCAGAGAACACCAGGACACTTGGGGTATAAGAAGAGCAAATGAATAAAGCTATAAATGCTGTATAGTTTGACTCTGAAATGTTACCAGTATAACTTCAACTAGTCCTGAGAAGAAAGTTTGCTTATGTGAGAACAGTGTTTGGACTCATTCTCTGGCCATAACCATCTTATTTAAATGCTTCAATTTCTGCACCTGTGAAATTCGGAGACCTAGTGGGACTTTACAAGGTGTGAAGGTATATTAAGTCATTGGTTCCTTTGTGGAAAAGAAACGCACAGTGAGTTGGGTGATGCTCTTCCTTGGCTGGAGCTGCTCTTATGTGAATGATCGACTAAGTAAGTGTGTTCCAGTAAAATTAAGTCCTGTCATGGACAGGTGTTTGCAGAACATGATAAGATTGCATGAATTGCATTTGTTATCTTCCATGTTGTTTTTATGGATTGAGCCTATTTAAAAAAATTTTGTGTTAATGGCAGAAGATTTCAACATTAATCTCTAGAATTTACATCTGATCAAATTAATGAAAACAGGCTCTTCCAAACCATCATGTGATTTTTTTTAGTCTTTGTATGAAACAATTCATTGTTCCCCTTTCTATTGTTTCTGTAGATTTCTAGAGAAAATCACTTAATAGGTGAACAGCAAAAGAATGTAGTTTGTTTATTTAATGTATTGAGAGTGATGTTGTCATATCTGTTACCTGTGGGCTCACCCACAAAAATAAACCTCAGCTGGCATTTTTAGAATCTATTACTTTCCAGGCACCATGGTAGGTGCTGGTAATTCAGAGATGAGGGCCACATCCTTCCATTGCCTTCAAGGAGCTCTCATCTTAGTGGGAGGCAGACGAGTCACCTAATAATTACACAACTGTGTAACAGGTACTACTGGAGTCAGTCGAGCATTTGACTTTGCAGGGGCAAGTCCATCAGAGCCTCTCAGGAGAGGGGGTAAGGGTTCGAGTGGGTAAAGTGGGAAGAACAGGCAGGATGCACAGGGCAGAGCCTAACAGCCCAGGGCTGCACGATGTCTGGGGGACTTGCGGACAGTTCTGTCGGGCTGAAGCATGTGTTGCATGAAGTTGGAGACGTAGGAAATGGTCAAGGATGATGGCTAAAGGTTGAGCTCTTTCCCTAAAGCGATAGAGAACTACGGAACAATCCAGCAGCAGTATGCAGAAATGCAAGACCCATGAGAAGACTACAGCTTTGCGCCAGGCAAGGAATTACAAGTATCCGAATTAAGACAATGGTGGTGGGAATGAAGATGAGCAGACAGACTGTAAGGAGAGCAGACTCTCAGAAATAGCTGAGAGAATTGGCAGGGCTTTCTGGGGCTTTGCACAGGGTGGGGGGATGAAAATGAGTGGGATTCCCAGCTTTCTAACTTTAGTAAATTGGTAAATGGTGGTGCCATAATGGTGGTAGTGGAGAAACTGGAAACTGAGCAAGGGCAGTGGTGAGTTCAGATTTAGATACATTGGATTCAGGTACCTGAGGGGGACCTAGATGGAGACAGACAATGAAAGGTAAAGAGGTGCATGTGGATGTAGACCTCAGCAAGATCTGAGGTATAGGAATTAGGAAACATCACACAATAGTTGAAGCTAAAGGTTAAATAGAATTACGAGGCGATATTTCCATATGAGAAGAAAAAGGGGCTCAGTGTGGAACTGTAAGATACTCTTACGATAAGGGAGGCATAGAGGAGGAAACTTTACAGCAATTAAGATCAAACACTCACAGAAGTAGGAAGAAAACAGAGGAGGCTGATGTCACAGAAGCCAAGCAAAGCCAAAGTATCAAAAAAGACAACCTGACCAACAGTGCCAAGTGCTGCCAGGAGGCCATGTTAGGGCAGGATCAGAAGGTTTCATGGGGTTTGGGCCTTGGTCGTTCACAAAGCGCTTCTCCCAATGAGCTAGGATGGCGGTAGGTTGGAGAGTGAGTGGGATTAGGAAGAGTAGACTTCCCCCAGCCTAGCTGACCAAGTGCAGCCGGGAATTCTCTGTCCCTTCTATCACCTTTCAAATCAATGGGCTCTGCATAGCATTGTTAAAACAATAGGGTCAAAATTTTTACATTAAACTCAATTCTGGTCAGACATCTGCCTGGGACTTCCTAACATCTTCTGTTATTCCTAAGTAGAAAAGAGTGTTAGAATCTTACTAGAGATGTTATGGCCTTGATGCAAGCAATCTTTAGCACAAGAAAAACACTGTTTTGAACAGGATGGGTGTAAAATGGTCCCATGAGAAGTCTCTCCCTTAACATCCATGAAGTAACAGGACCAGTGTCCTGGCTCTCTACCTTAGCAGGCATTGGTGGTAGGCACAAGGGCACTGGGTTCAGTCTACCCAGTTCTCCCACCAATGGAGACCTTGGGTGATTCCGTTTGAACTTAGGCTTGACTTTTTCATCTATATAATGAGTAAATTGGGCTCAATGACTTCCAAGACCCACCTCTACCAGGTCCATTGGACTTTGATTCTGTCTTCAAATCTGCTTTTTGTTTTCCCTTCTCCCATACCTCCCATGCTTTGCTGCTCCTACACGTATAGCTTCTACAGCCGCCAGGTCTATAGTACGCTGCTTGGAAAGGGCCCCATCTGCACCTGACATGGTTGGAGATGCTGTTAGGAAAACAAGAAATGGAACACAGAGAACATGGGGAGTCTTCTAGCTTACCTTCCCTTTGGCTCTTCATCTTCCTTTGCTGTCAGCTTACTCTCCCTCATGCTGCTCTTAGCCCCAAGTGGGATTTGTTCAAACAGATATCAGAAAGCCTGAAAAATTATTAACAGCTTCTGCATAGAGAAGATTAAAGCCCTGAGGCAACTAGGGTAAAGTCACTAATGTGCTCTGACTCAGTGTCATTGGTTAGAATATTTGTTCATTCTTTCATTTACCCAAATGGCTGTCCACTTAATAATTACGTACTGAGGGTCTACTATTTCTGTGTTGACTGCATTTCCCTAGTATCCTAAAACACAAGGAATGAAATGCCAAACACAATAAGGTGGACTCTGCCCCAGTGGAGATGATAGTCCAAAGAGGGAGAAAAGCATATTGACAGAAATGAACACAATTAATGTGTGATAAGTAAATGCATGTGATAAGTAAATACAAGTAAAAGTAGCTGGGGGTAATTTTAACAGTGGGCCTGGAATTAGTCAAGGCTGTCAAGGGAAGGCTTCTCTGAAGGTGTGCTATTTGGGCAGATGGAAGAACAGCCAAGGCAGGAGAATGCAGAATAACCTGTAGCCAGGTGGAGCAGTACTCCTCACCCTGAGCTGGAGGAGGGCAAGGTGGCCAGAGAATTGGGAGAAAGGGGAGGCAGGGCTGACCGTGCAAGACATGGGAAACCAGGAGATTATGAGGTGATGAAAGCAAAGAGAAGTTTCAAGAAGGAGGTTGCAGTTCTGCAGCATCCAATGGGCAGAGATGCCATTTTACTTAAGGACTAAGAAGTGCCCACTGGCTCATTGGAGGCTATTGGTCACCTTAGTAGGAGTGTGGCCACAAGAGACTGACTGGACCGGACTGAGGGGGAGTGGTGGGAGGCTGCATGTAAGGGCAGCTATGTTGAGACACAATGCTATGATTGGGAAGTCAGGAAGCTAAGGTAGAAATTAGAAGGAATGTGCAATAAAGGAAGGTTTTTGTTTTGTTTAGGTTTTGCTTTTCAGATGAGCAGTATTGAATGTTTTAATAAAGACTGGAAAGATCTCAGAAAGAAAAGGTTAAGATACAAAAGACCAAAGGAGTGAGGTCCCAGGAAAGGTGCAGAGATGAGGTCAGAAGACACATTTCCTCCATTGCAATAGGGGAGAAAGGCGGTTTTGGGGATTTGGTGACAGAAAAATTGGAGCATTCACATCCACTGCCATCTATGAGGCGGAGACTTCCCAGAGAATGGGGTGGGAGGAGGGGAGCAGGAAGGCAGTGGAGTGGATGAGGCAGGGCAGGGGGAAGGAGCCCACCTGAGGAGGTGCCCGGAGGGTTTTCCTTTCTGCTCACCACCTACCCCTCTGATCCTTGTCAGCATCCCTACAAGTATGTAAAAAGAGTATTTTGATTTTGTTTCCTGTGGTTTTCCAGTGCCAAATTCCACCACTTCATATAATTTTCTATACATCATGAATTATTCTGATATGGGAGCAGTGCATTTTGCTCTGGTAATTTTTCTTCCTTGTTTTATTTTACTTTTTAATGTTTATTTATTTTCAGGAGTTTGGAGATCAAGATCGATGGGTGGGTGGAAGGGGCAGAGACAGAGGAGAGAGGATCCCAAGCAGGCTCGGTGCTGTTAGCACAGAGCCCAATATGGGGCTCCATCCCCCAAACCATGAGCTCATGACTTGAGCTCAAATCAAGAGTCAGATGCTCAATCACGTGAGCCACCCAGGTGCCCCCTCCCTATTTTATTTTTAATTAATTCCATGATCCTTCTCTCCATGTTCTTTCTTTTACTCTTTGAGTTGCTTATAACCTTTGGCCTCATTTGAAAAGCACGTGACTTTCATGCCTGTCTTTTCTGGTTGTTTTTTATAACTACATGTCATGCGTTAGTCTGCTTTTCATTTCATTTTTACAGAATACATTATGAGCCCACTTACATACAGGTTGTCTCTCTCTCTCTCTCTCTCTCTCTCTCTCTCTTCTCCCCCCCCCCCTCCATTTGGGCAACATTTGTGGCAATAACTAGAATATCTGCTAGATCTCTCCTTTCTGTCTCTCTCCCCATTCCGCCATGCACCTGATACTCACCAGGTCCTGCTGCGTCTCTCTCTTGGCCTTGGTGTTATGTTGTTTCTGCTCTGCATTCTATGCTTGCAGCCTCCAGATCCATGTCTCTTAGCTCCAGACACCCACAGTCTTTATGTTTCTTCCATTGACAGTCTGAGGCAGGGGAGCTCCCTTGGTGATATAAATCCTCTTGTTTGGGGTTCATTAGTCCATATGAAGTATCTTCAGAAATAAGGAAGGATGAAGAAGGAAACTAGCATTGGGTGCATATCTTATGCTGTCTTATATTAACGCTTATCCTTCTGTGGGGGGTGCCGGTCCTGGTTTAAAGACAGGCAAATGAATCCCAGTGAGACTTCTTGAGAAGTATTTCAGGGCCAGGACTGACACCATCCTTATTCCCCGCCTAAAGCTCAGTGGTTGGAGGTTATCACTGTGCATCATTTGGACACTCATGAAGTAGAGATCCCACTTGAAGATGTGGGCCTTGACTTGCTTCAGATACTGAACTACTTCTGATGTGAGGTGGCTCTTTTGGCAATGAGGCATTTTTAGTCCTGGAGCCCAGATGTAAGGCACCTTCACCACTAGGTGGAGATGTAGCAGCGCCACAAGTAGTCACCATGCACACGAAAAGTAGGCCTAATGACAAGTCTTCTAGAGCTAGGGCCTGCAGACTACCTGTTTTTTTATCTTTCAATAATTTCTTGAAGTGACAGCCACATAACAAAATCAACCATTGTAAAGTGACAGACAGTGGCATTTAATACCTTCGCAGTGTTAGACAACCACCACCTCTATCTACTTCAAAGACATTCTCTCACTCCTAAGTAAAATCCCTAACCATTAAGCAGATTCTCCCCATTTCCTTCTTTCTGTACCCCCTGGTAACAGTCAGTCTGCATTCTGTTGCTGTGGATTTTCCTATTCTGGGTATTTTTTATAAATCAAATCCTACAGTATGCAACCTTCTATGTCAGGCTCCTTTCACTTTGCATGATGTTTTCAAGGTTTGCCCATGTAGCATGGATCAGTAAGTATTTCATTCCTTCTTATGGTTGAATATTCCACTGTGCAGCTTTACCACAATTTGTATATTTATTCATTCACCCATTGGTGGACCTTTGGGGTGTTTCCACCTTTTGGTCATAGTGAATAGTGCTTCAATGAACATGGATGTACCTGTAACTGTTTGAGTCCCTGTTTTCAGTTCTTTAGGGTATATCCCAAGAGTGGAATTATGGGATCATGTGGTAATTCTGTGTTTAATTTTTTGAGAAACTGTCAAACTTTTGCATAGCAGCCCAATGGTTTTACTTTCCCAACATAAGATTTTCAAACTTTTCTGACCATGACTCACAATAAGAAATATATTTTATATCACAACACTGCATTCACATATGTGTACATTTTCATTCATATAATGCATGTGTGTGTACACAAATAACAGTTTTTTATGGAACCGTGCTGACCCTGTTACTATATGGTGCACTCTGATGTGTTCCTTCCTGTTCTATTAGAAAAATATGCTGGTTTTGATCCACTGAATGAGTTCCACACCTCAAAGCAAAGTGAAATCTTAAAAATTAAATTAGTTGTTAAGACCAGAGTACCGTTGGGGCACCTGGATGGCCCAGTCAGTTGATTATCCAACTCTTGATTTCAGCTCAGGTCATGATCCCAGGGTTGTGGGATTGAGCCCTCCATTGGGCTCTGCACTGAACATGGAGCCTACTTGAGATTCTCTCTCTCTCTCTCTCTCTCTCTCTGCCCCTCTCTCCTACTCATGCACGTGTTCTCTATCTCTTTCTCAAGAAAATCAGTACCATTTTAAGTGTATGTAATAATATAACATCTCCTTTACACTTAGATAATAAAAGAATTTAGGATACAACTTATCAATACATATAAGTTTTGGGGAGGAGAGATTATTGAACCTATGAGGATGACATTTTACATATTCTCAAAATGGACAATTTAGATCACACACAAAAGTGAGTTATATTGCATGTACTTGTTAGAGTGTGAAGACTGTAATTAGCTAGTGGTTTTTTTTTTAATTTTTAAGTTTATTTATTTATTTTGAGAGAGTGAGAGAGAGCACAAGCAGGCAAGAGGCAGAGAGAGAGAGAGAGAGAGGGCGAGAGAGAGAGAGAGAGAGAGAGAGAATCCCAAGCAGTCTCCATGCTCAGCACAGAGCCTGACACGATCTCACAACCATGAGATCATGAACTGACTAAGTTCCCCAGGTCCCCCACATAATTAGCTGGTGTTCTATCACTCAGCAACAAATTATTTGGTGAGTATTGCACCTGTAGCTTCTGGGAAAAGCTTTGTGATATATGTTATAATTTATTGAATATCCAGTTGAATAGAGTAAGATACTGAAGAGCATGGTAGGGATGGTAGAAAGAGCAAGAGAAAGAAGAAGAGAGAGAAAGAAGTAGAATCAAGTGAATGGGGAGAAAAACACGAGAAGCTTCTCAAATATGTTGCAATTATTTATTACCATCTTTAAGAATCACCTGAAACTGAGCTTTCCTGGAAGGAGTGGTGTATGGGAAGAATAGAAAATACTGGTTAAGCACATGCTCTCAAGCAGATCCACAGATAGGATTGCGGGGATCCAAGGGCTAAGATGGGGAAAAATTGCACTTGGCTTCTCATTAACCTCTAACTGAAATTTATTATTTTCTTCAAGTACAAACATAGGCAACAAAAATAGTATTAGCAGTAACTTTGATTTTACTACCAATTGAACTCACAGATTTTTTTCTGTTACAGTTGCTTTAGGTGGACTTCAATATTTTTTATGTTTACTCTTTTATTTAAACATTATTATAATTATTAGGCCTATCTCTAGGTTATGCTATTTAAAGTCTTATTAAAGAAATGCATTATCTACAATATTGCAATTTTGTGTGTGTGTGTGTTTTTTTAAGTAATTTGATAACTGTATTTCAAAATAACTGGTTTCCATTGTAATCTCCTGGGTTTTGTCTCATTTACATTCTGAGAAGAAGCCCAGTGGCTCTGCTGAGTGACCAAAAGGGTCCAAAAATAGCTGAGAACCCCCTAGATCTGCACTGTCCAATAAAGGACCCACTAGCCACGTGTAGCTATTGAGCCCATGGAATTTGGTTGTCCAAACTGAAATGTGCTGTAAAATATACACCAGATTTCAAATATTTAGTGCAAAAAATATTGTGTCCCAATAATAATTATATATACATATACATATATTACATGTTAAAAATGATCATATTTGGGGTATATTTGGTTAAATAGAATATATTAAGTTTAATCTCACCTGTTTTATTATTACAAATGTACATACTAGAATATTTTAAATTGCATATGTGGCTCATGTTATATTTCTGTTGGACATGACTAGCCTCGCATCAAATCTGAGTTCCAATCATCATATAACCAGCAATTATCTTCATTATTGTTATCATTACTCTGCCATGTTCTAGCTATTGGATCCCCATAAATTTCAATGTCCTTATCTGTATATGTACACATAGAGCCAAAGGAGAGAGTATTACTATGTTCATTCTAGACTTAGCCTTCTTGCTAATCCATTTCTTACTATGAGAAGTATCCCAAATTCTTATCCAAAAGTCTAAAAGAAGGCCCATGTCCACGTCCCCTTTCCTTACTCTTCTGCTGCCCATTGTTGTAATGAACACAAAATTTAAATTATATACATGAAAGTGACATATAAAGATGAGGATATAACAATTTATAGAGAAAGTGAATTTTTGAAAAATTGTAAAGGATAAGAACAAATTCTCTTGAAGAGCAAAGAAGGTGGAAAATGAATCTTGAGGTAGGGTGGAGTCGTAGGCACACTACCGTTACCACCCATCCTGTATTTATCCAGAAAGACCTAAGTGGCATTTGGATAAGACACCAGCAAACCACCAGCACATTCCTGAAGTTTGCAAATGGTCACTTAAATAGCAGGACAGCACTGGTATGTCCCTAACCCAAAGCTGAAGTCCAGCAGGCTTCCACAGTAGCTGGAAGTTAATGATATGTTTCTTTAAGAGGGAAGAGCTGAGAGGAGACCTCCTGCCCTTTTGTGTGATCCTTACACTTCTGGAGCCCTGAGCATCCTAAAATGGGCACCCTGGGAATAATAAACCCTTTCATCTACAGAGTCTCCTTTGAGGTCATGAAACAACCTTCTGTAGATAGCAGATCGTACAGTATCACCTGTATTCTTCTAAAGGAGAAGGGAGTAGCTCCAATACCAGAGTGGATCGCTGTGGCCAGTATCTGGTGGAGTGAGGGCTGACAGGAGCTTGGGTTTCTCTATAACTAACACCATGAGGATCAGAATCATGACCCTCCACCTCTGTTTCCCTGAGCTGCTCAAAGTGACCTCATCCAACCTGACCATCTGCAAAGATCATTATTCTTTCTCTGGCTTCTCAGCTGAGCCGTGCATTTGGAACTGCTCTCACCACCAGCTTGTTAAACTGTTCCCTCCCATCACTCAGACAGTTTCTCGTAGCCCCACCCTCCTACACAAAGCTCTGCCTGTCTGGTCAAAATAGGGTGGTGATTTCCCCACCCTTTCTAAAAACATGCCTTGCAAGGCTTTCCCTATCCTCCAAAATTTACTTGCGCCTTCCCAGTTACATTTTCTACCGCGTTTGAACTGTGCTTGGGGGTGGAGAAGGTGATGTATGTGTTTCTCCACTTCAGTGTTGCTGGGCTCAGACCACAATCCTCTAAAGGTGGGATCAGAGGGACTGAACCACATAGCACTAGGAACAGATGGTCATTTGAAGGTTTAATCAGTGATGCTCAGTGAGGTAGATAACTTCTTTTTAAAGCTTTAGTTTCAAATGAAGGGCTGTTCTATGTATCTTTAATTCCTTAGTTCAACACTTCATCTCAGTGACAATGACCTGGTTTTCAGCTACAGATTATCTCTGGTTTCCAGGACTTGGACAGCTGTAGAGTGCATCCATTTTCTCCTAAACAGAACAAAGCACTTTGATACTGCCTTATTAACTTCACAGAGAACCCTCGATCATTTTCACTTTCTGGTTGGTTTATCTCTTTCTAATTTCCTTTTTCTTCTTTTGGTTCTGGGTCAGCTTCTTCTCCTAGTCAGCCAGCATGTGCTTTCTATGGGATACTTTTGGTACTAGCTTTATCAAAACAGAATTGAGAAGGTGAATCTGTTGCCCAAAAGTTAAAATAACGTATGCCAAAGACCAACATCAAATAATTTATTATGCAGTGCTCTTTCCCTGAGCCAGGGTCCCTCCTAATAATATGGAAAGTCAAAGGCTGGCCTACCCTGGGAGATGAGGCAGTCTGGTGATGAGAAGCAGCTTTCCTCATGTAGTAGACAGTAACTTGTTCAAGGTCATAGTATCAGGGCCAGAATAAGGAGGAAAATAGAGTTTCCTGACTCTTAGTCTATCAAAGTTTGCTGGTAGGTAACTGCAAACATGTGATCATACCTAAAAGAAAGAAAAAAACAAAATTTCCAATTTTTCCTGATGTTGGTGACTTTAAAAATCTAGATTTCAATAACTATTTACATTAACTGGTACCTCTGAGGGAAAGTTGATCTGCCCCTTATGACTTAAAATCTAAAATTTATTTTTGTGTGTGAAATTGGGAACATTAGTGGGAATATTAGTTCTATCCTTAAAAGGTATTTCATTTTCAATCGCTTAATAAATGGAATGTCTTACCATAGACAAAACGTTTAAATGCAACTATGAGAATGCATCTCTTTTGTTTGTTAACTTATCATTTTCATAGGTAAAAAGCTATTTTTAAGTGGCAACCAGAGTTTGGAAAGTGTGATGGTTATTTTTTATTCTAAGTATTATTAATCTGTGCATTTTTGGTCAATAATGATATGCAAAGCAAATGCTGTGTTTTTACTTCTTCAGAAAGGAAATAACTTATAATTAAATATTATTGGCTCCTATTGTGATATTGCACCTGTTTGTATCTTGGTATAAATAAGTTCTCTGGTTGCTGGTGGTATTCAAAAATAGGGTAGTAAAGTTATCGGTACTGTTGTGTGCTTTTGCGATAAAAGGCAGTCAAAATAACCCATATTTTCTGTTTACATACAATATTATCTGTAAATACAATATTAAATACTACTTGTGCCTTGCAGAAATTGAGGTCAAATCTTTATATTTATGTGTACAAAATACGTATGAACCACATCTCCTGGTCTGACTGTAGGATAATAATATCCAAAGAGGTCTACCTTGAGAGGTTAATAAGAAGAATAAATTAGGTAAATTTTGAGCCTCTACTAAGGTAACCAGACTTCTATCCAGCTTACCCTGGGCACAGAAAGTTAGAAGCACTAAAATATTAAATAAAACTTTTTTTTTTTTTTTAAACCTAACCTGTACAAGGTTAGGCTTTCGTTGCTTCTGCAAAACTTCAGCCTTCCATTAGTAGCCAGCAGGGGGCGGTGACTGTAGATGGAAGCCCTCTGCCATGAGCAAGGTCTCTCTCTCCCCCTTTCCCTAATCTGACTGTGGAGTTAAAGGGGCATTTTGTGTTGGGTATTCTGGGATCGTTGCTAGCTATCGACCTGCTATTTACCAGTTGTCCTCTGGCTATGTGCTCATTTAGTTCTCATGACAGACCTGTGAGATAAACCCTATTTTAGAGATGAAGAAACTGAGTCTGGGAGATGTTCAGCAGCTTTGCTAAGCAACACAGCTCCTACACAGTAGAATAGAGCCTTGTTTCTGGCATACTATATTGCGCCCCTTCTAATTAATACCCTCGGAATATTTGCTCTTGAGGTCACCATTCAATTGTTTGGAGAAGTGTTGAGAGAGAGGCCCAAGTTTTATCTCTCCAGTTATGAAGATGCTGGGGATAGAGACCTGAGTTAACTGATGCCCTAGTCCCAAGTCATTCTCATGGTGTCTCAACACCACTTTTAGAGAGGTGCCTTGCAGGTGCTTAGCAGGTGTGGCCCTTGGTTTGGGTTTGTCCATACAGATCCTTTGAAATACAGTCTAGCGGTGTGTCAATATCAAGTTGAGCTCGATTAATGTTAATCCCCCTACCCTAGTCTAGAATAGACTTGATACACACCCTGGGTGACAATGGGCTTATGGAGTGAGGCTTCCCTGCTCAGAGCAGGAAGAGAAAGGACTTCAAGCTTGACCCTGCTCTCTGCTGTCATTTCTCTATGCCATCTGATGCCTTTCACTGCTTCGATCCTTCAAGGACTTCCCATTAGCTAGACTGACATTCAATTCCTTTGTCATGGCCCAGGATTCCTTATAAAACTCCTTTGCAGGGGAAGTAAGTAGGGAAGAAAAATGGGTTCTTCTGATAATTGTTAATGGAGACAATTTTAGGAGATACTATTTTCCTTGTTTACATATGTGTAACAAGAAGCTGTGCTCTAATGAAGTTCTGGTGCATTCAGAACACTTAAATATATTTCAATTCATTTAGAAAAAATTATTTGTACTGACGAGTAATGGAGTAGGCATTTTCAAAATTTGCAGAATCTATTTTTGTGAAGATTTGTGTATGTGGGTTGGATTTTTTAAGGGAATGATTCTTGAGTTTTCTGTTTACGAAATGAACATTGTGTGGCATCGCTTCATATTTTTTTCTCTGCTGTGTTTTAGCACGAGATAGATCAGCACAGATTATGCATCTAAAATATATCAAAAAGTTTCTGATTTATCTTGATGCTTTCTTTATCTCTAAAAGGCCTCATTCTGCTTAAAGCAAAACAAAGCCCTTTCTCCATCCATACTTGTCACCACTGATCTCAAGTGATGCTTAATTTAATTTGGAACCGTTCTTATTGAGAAATAATACATACTAGTAGGCATGTAGTATTCTTAATGCTTTTTTGGAATTTTAGACTGAGCAAAAATTGAGAAAGCAATTTTTTCTTATATTCAGTGATTTTCCTTTGTTTCCTCAGGATGCTAGGAAAACAGTTATCTTCTGCCTAATACATTCTATGCATGAATGTACATGTCACTCTGACAATAATTACACATGTGTGCCCACGTGCAGCCATCCACAGGGAAAGGGGGCGGATTCCAACCCTAACCCAATCAATGCAGTCAGACTTTTTAAAACCATTATGAGATGGCTCTTGATGTTGGCAAGCATCCAGATTGTTTGCCTAGCTTTGTTGTCACATTTTTTTGAACGCCACACATTTTAATCTCCAAAAAAATTGTCAAAAATGCTAGGAAAGAGAAAATTAAATATGGATCAAAACACAAACCGATTGCACTTCTGTTGCACATTTTCCCCCCACAGGCAACAGATAGCACTAGGCATGCATGACATGTCTGTTCATTCAGTGACTCATTCTATGTGTTCTTTGCATGAGAACTTAGCGTGTGCTAAGAGCTGTGGCAGAGACACAAATGAGACACACATGGCTCTTCTGGAAGGACAGAAGAGAGAGTAGGGAATGCCACAGACTGTAATTTACAATCCATGCACCCTTTACCACCCACCTTTGTCCCACCCTGCTGTTCAGCAACCTGCGTCGCAGGTGGCAGGTGACCAGTTGGCCTCTGCCTTCTTGAAATGCTCTGTTTTCTTAGTCCCCACTGCACCACCCCAGGCTACCGTGAGTCCATAAGCTATACTGATCACAATTAAGTACCTCTTCCTGTGGACTGTGTATTGGCCAAATGTGTGGCATCCACCAGGGTGGACACATTTCTACCTCTTTACAGCTTGGAGAGTGGAGTTCAGACTAGATTGCCACCCCCACTGGCCCCACCCCCACCCCAGGTCAGGCATCCTGATATAGACCACGACTTGTACAAGGAATCAAATTAATGTGAAAGATAACAGCATTCTTCTCTAGGTTTCTTTGGGACGGGCAAAGCCCCAGGGAATAATTGCTTTCCCCAGGCTAAAGCCTGACAGAAAGGCAGTAAGCAGTCTTAGAGAGCCAATGGGACCTGAACCTAAAACATTACTATCATGTAGTGTTAACAAGGGTCTTAGCTTCTCTTCCTGAAGTTTGGAAAAGGAGTAGGTAACCATGATTTTTTGCTTGCTTATGATTAAATAAATAAATAGATACAGATAGATAAATGACTCTGGTTCTAAAATTTGTTAGACCTAAATTTTGCCAGCTCTATGACCTTGACCTTATTTTATATCTTTTTGCCTCCATTTTCTCATCTATGAAATGGGGCTATTAGTAGTACTTCATAATGGGTTGGGGGTGAGGACTAGCTTTGATAAAATTGGTATTTTTTTTTAAAAGGAAATTTTTTTTAAATATTTTATTTATTTCTAGGAGAGAGAGAGAGAGAGAGAGAGAGAGACAGCGTGAGCAGGGGAGGGTCAGAGAGAGAGGAAGTCACAGACCGAAACAGGCTCCAGGCTCTGAGCTGGCAGTCAGCACAGAGCCCGACGCGGGTCTCGAACCCACGAACCGCGAGATCATGACCTAAGCGAAAGTCGGACGCTTAACCAACTAAGCCACCCAGGTGCCCCTAAAATTGGTATTTTTAAACACACTATTAATGTTGAATAAATGTAGATGGTGCTATGATCATATCTCAGGTCACTTTCTGACTTTTTACCCCCATTCATGGACACTACTTCATGAGGCCTTTCAGCTTTCCTGTATTACTGTTACTTTTCTCTGAGCCTCTGACATCTGTGCCTAATTCCTTGCTTTAAGATCTGTTACGTGTTCTAACATTATTAAGGAAAGACCCCTCGTTCCTCTTAAATGACATCTGGAGCCTCATAACAAGCCAGGGACAAATTCAGATTTTATTTGTATTTTAGGTCCCTCTGTCCAGGTGCCTGTTCTGATGACATTTTTTTTTTTATAAGCATCCCCACTCCAGCCAGAGAGGAGACAAAAAGATAAATGTTTTATCCCAGCTTGCAGCAGGTGTCTTTCTATTTGATTTGTAGGCCTTTCAACAAAACAAAAGGCCTTTTCTGTCCTTTTACAATATATGCTCTCTTTAAAAGTACTCAGATGAGGAAAAAAAAGCACCCATGAGCAAGATTTCAGGTTCTAATGGACAGAGCCTGAGTTCTTCGTTACTGGTTCGCTCTTCACAGGGAAAACGATATGCCACTAAAAACATTCTTTTCTTAATAGCATCTAAAAATTTAGGATAGTTTCTTCTCAAAATATGTACAAGTGGCATTCTCAGCAAATTAATATGTTTATAGCAGGATTGAAAACTCTGAAAAGCCAGTTAAGGTCTATTTAATAAAGTCAGCCAAGAGAATCTGTGTATGCTTGAGTAACAATATATAATAGAATGCTTACTTACTGCAGCTATTTGAAGTGTCTCCAACTTGCTAGCTCCAAATCGTTACCATTGGTGTTCAAAAGCAATATACCTTCTAAGTCCCATCAGTGTTACAATCATGTGGTGAACTTAAAAAAGCTCTATTCTGTTGTCTCCAAGGGTTCATAATAAATATCAGTATAGCTAAAGCTTAATTGTTTACTATACACAAGACATTATGTTGAACACTTTATTCGTCATGTCCTTTAATCTTTACAACAATTGGATGAGGTAGGTACCACTATTATTTCCATTCTCCAAGTGAGGAAACTAAGTCTTAGTGAGGTTAATAGCTTGCCCTGGGTCCCATAGGTAGTGAAGTCTGGAGCCAGGTGGGAATCTGGGGCCTGTCTTGAGAGACCGTGCTCATGAACTCCAAGGCACTATGAAGTCTCCCTGTTCATTCATTGCCATGGGCAGGCCTCAGACAAGTAGGTATGGATATTAATTTTTGTTTTTGAATATGATAGCTGTTTTGAAGTAAAAATCTTTAGGTCCTGTCTCACGTGGAATCCATATATTCAAAGTACAGATGATAAAACTAGCTTATCAACTCTAGTATGCTTATAAATGAAAAAAGTTCATCAGGTACGAAATTTCATGAGAATAAAACACTGTGAGAGGAGCTGGAGATCTTGGTGGCTGAGGGCTAGTCTTTTGTGTAAGTGTAAGGAGTTTGAAAAGCTTAAACTGATGGTGCCTTGGGGCATTTCAGGACAGTAATTCTTAGTCTTAAAAGTATTTTGCGCTCTCTTTACCATTTCTCAAAAGAGCTGTTAGTCCAAAAATCCCTATCTGTGTGTTCATTTGAGGCGAGTTGCCCAACATTTTTATGTTCAATGATTATTAATATGGCCTATTAATTTCTTTGGAAAAATATTAATGAGAAATGTACTGGAAAGGGAGAATTAGTCCGTGGTTTGTGAGACAGTTGGCCAAATCCCACCTACTGAAACACAGCCTGTCAAAATTATAATACTCTTATTTAATCCCCTGGTCAAGCTAAATGGTAACATGAAAGAAAGCTAACCAAAATCAGGACACCTGATATCAAGACTTCATGAACTAAAAAGCCATTGTACAGCAAGGAATCTAATGCTTTTGCTTCTTATCCTTTTAATACAAATAAATAAGCTTTATTGGGCTTCATGATTCTTAGAAACGATAGGATTGAGAAACAGATCCGTCGTGGAGCCTCACATTCTGTAAACAAGCCCACTAAGCATCCCCTTCAGATGCACACGTTAAGAGTGGAGTGCCTCTCAAAGCGACAAGCTTTTCTGGTAGGGGGAAGCACAAAGTGCAGCTTCCACTGTGCCGGTGAAAGAAGGGGAAGAAAAAGCCCAGGCAAATGCCCTGTTGTTACCCAGCTTTCCTACTGCAACAAGGCTGACAGATGGGGCTTTTAAAAAAACGTCACTGCAACCAGATCCAGGGGTGCTGCAGCGCGATGCAGTTGTGTATATTTCAGGGACAGACACAAGGGGAAGTAGCAGCCAGTGCTCATGCGGGCTGCTCCCTGGAAGCATTTCTGAAGAGAGAGGAGCCACAGGAGCTGGGAAATTCCTCCTCCGGCTGAGTCCGGGGCTGAGCGGTGGCTCAGGTTGAGACCGTGGGCAGGGGCAGGGGGTGGCGCTCCCAGCCCATCCCTCAGCCCTGCAGAGCGCCGTGTGGGCCGTGGCTGCCTGCACAGTGTCAGGAAGGCCAGCCAAGAAACCCTCCCTCCCAGGGGAAAAACGGATCACAGTTCAGGTGGGGACTTCCTCGGTAGCGTACCTGGCTGAAGCAGAGCATGTGGGCGGCCGGCAGCAGGCGGCTCTGGTTATGGCAGCCCAGAAATGAAAGCAGCGGCCGCCGCCACCTCTGAGAGCTGCAGACAGATCAGCACCCAGCAAATAAGAAGCAAGTCCTAGACCCGGAGGAGGAGGAGGAGGAGGAGCGGCCGCCGAGCATCTCTCTCCCGCTTCTCTCCTCGGCGTCCTTTAAATGAGGACTCCCTGCCAGTGCCGGAGGTAGATCTGCAGAGGCTTCCTCTCCGCGGCTGACCCCCGCTTACATCACTAACCTGTGACAGGCACATCTCCACACCCGGTACCTGCTCCTCCAGCGGCTCCCAGTCCAGTCCCAGGAGCCTCTTTGTATACCGCCGACATGGCCAGCCAGCAGGATTCCGGCTTCTTTGAGATCAGTATCAAATATTTACTGAAATCCTGGAGTAATAGTGAGTAATAGAAAATAACCTTTGTTTGTTTGTTTGTTTGTTTGCTGGATGTTGCGTAAGGTTCGAGAAATAAAATCTCAACTGGAGGCATATGCTTGGGAGCCAAGGAAGTTTTTTTTGGTTCCATCTGCTATGAAAATCAAAATGTCAGAGACTGAACTAGCTTTCCTTAAGTGCAAAGGCTGCAGTGGAATCACAGTAGATTTTGTTAGATTAAATTTTCAAGTGAGATAGCCCTTCAGACTCTGGCAGAGCACAGGATGGGGCATTCTAGGTTGCATTTTCTGCCTTAATGTTTATTTGATTGGGCTTTATCTAAGTATTTTGTGGAGTGTGGCTTAGTCAAAGGGGTGTGGCACAGTTTCAGAGTACTTCATAATTGTTTTATTAAGGTATTGTCTACAGAAAAAAAGTGTTTAAAGTCTAAAATCGAAGAGTCCTCTCTTTTGCACTAGAGGCATTTGCAGGTTTGTGTCTCTCCCTCGTCTGTGTGGGTGATGTTCAGGATGCTATCTAATGTTTGGAGTTTGTTTATATATATATATAATATGTATTTATGGATATTTACATATATAATAAAAGTCCTGTTGTGTTATAGTCCAAATTAGTAACATGCTTTCCTGAAATATAAACAAGTGAGATTCTGACCCTGATCATTTATTAGAATATCAGAATGTTATGGCTTCTGAAGTTCCATTACTGACCTACTTAAAAATTTTAGCAATAACACATTTTAAAAAGACAAGCTCTCAGACATCATGGATCTGAAATCAGAATTGAAACGAGGCCTTCAGGTTATCAGTGATGCCTTGTGTTTTCTGAATAGTTGAAAAACAAAGTCTTCTCTATTTCACCAACATCCTTTGTGCTTGCTTTGGATAAAAGACTGGCAGGTATTACAGATCCTTAATTGTCTGAAATTTAAAAAAAAATTCCAGGAAAATTTTGATCCCGTATTATAAGCATACTAATTAGCCTACCTGTGCTTAAAGAGCTGGCGATTAATTATCTCCCACACAGATGACCTGTGGCCAAGATTGTTCTTATGTAAACAAAACCTGGGCAGAAGAACCTCTACCATAATTGCTCTAAGAAAAGAGCCAAAGTACCTTCGGCCTTAAGGTATTCAGGGATGTGCATCTCAATGATATCCATAGAAACCATTTTTTCCCCAGGTCATTTTGCACCATTGTATACACTATGGGGCTTCTCTGAAGCTGTTTTTCTACAAGTGGGAAGCCATTTGGGAGTCTTGCTGTCACTCAAATAGCATTCCTTTTATCTGTTAGAGTCTTAATTCATTTTTCTTGGATCCATTATTTGTGTAATTCTTCATACTCAAGGATGAATCTTCCTTTGTCTATCCACCCTTTGATTAATGAAAAGGGTTTGACACACAGGGTTCTTGATGGAGCAATTTTCCAATAACTGGAAAGACTTACCGTGAGTTTGACTTTGGTATGTGGCTTTGAATCATCATTTTGAGTACACCAAGGCTAGATTATGTTCTCCCATCATTTTTTGTCATTGTCTCATTAAATAGAAAATTGTGTTGTGACAATACTGAGGCCAGTGGGATTTCTTTTAAAATTTTGCTCCCTTTGTCAATTTTCAAGTGACTCTAGACAAAGTGTATATTCTTTCCACCTTTCCTAACCCCCCCCACCCCACACTAGACACATACACACACACACACACACACACACGCATGCACACTCACTCCCTCACATCAGGAAATGGTTTAAAATGACTATTCATGTCTACTTTGAAAGCGTCTTGGACACAGTTCTGAATTCTTTCAATTCATTCAGCAAATATTTATTCCACACCTATTATGCCGGGCTCCGGGGCTGCAAAGGTGCATAAGACCCCATACCTGCACTCTATCCTAATTTCTTTATTACAAAAGAGTGAACTTGGTGATTCTCTTAGTGTTTCTTTGGAAGTCAGAATGCTTTTCAGTCCTTTCTTAAAAGAGGAAGAGGAAATACACTTTATGCTTAGTCTTCTTTGAGCTTGTTGCAACACTAACCTGCTTTTAACCTAGCTTAGCTCTCAGTTTTACATATTTTCAGTAGCCAAGAGAGAAAGGAGATTGTCTGCCTATAGGAAAAAGTAGCTTAGGGCTTTGGCCTACTCAGGATAACCTGCCTGCGAGGATGCATCTCGGAGCCACTCGTCAGCCAGCATCATAGGTTTGAGAGGCCAGGATGCCCGCCCACATACCTGAGTGGAGAATCAGACTCCTAATTACATAGCAGTGCTTATTTGTAAAAGTACAACAATTAAAAAGCAATAAAACAAACTGTGTAACCATGGCTGACTGCTTTGCAAGGTGGTAGGTAGTAAGAGGAAAGATGATTCCTTGAGCATGCCCGTTATGATTTCCATTCATTGTTTTAAAGGCACATTGTGGGGGAAATGTAATTTCATGTTATGTCTGTCTCCTCTGAAGAATTAACAAGTCAATTAAATCAGTCATTGCCTGGTGAGATGTATTAGCTGTTTATTCACTGTTCATTTTGACACTCTTCTTCATTGGCGTGCTTACTCTGTCAGGCTGTCCTTTCATGTTAATGGAGTTGGGAATTAAAATGGCCTTGATGTCTGGAAAGAAAATGTCCTTTGTAGACCTCACTGTGGAGGCTCTCCTTAGCCTCTTGGACACCCTCCCTCCCTCCATCCCCCACTTAAGTCCTATGGCTTCTTCCCCAGTTTATATCCAGACTTTTTCCCATCCATTCAGTGATTCTCACAGCTGCTCTCCTTGGTGTTCATGGCCACAGCCTCCACAGGCCTTTCTGTTTAATCTGGAATGCTCCAATGGTCTCCTAACAGTCCCCCTGATGTAGAGCTGCCTGTAGAGGCTTCTACCAGCATTTCAAAGACCACACCACAGCTCCCTCTTGCCTGTGAGCATGTGACTGCCATTCAGGGCCCTCTTTGAGGTCCTCACCCATCCTCTCTCTTAGACTGTTTTTCTGCCCCAGCCAGATTTAATCTGCTCACCCTTGTCTGCATTTTACCACCTTGCTCTCCACTCCATGCCTGTATGCACCTTGGCCTCCTAATCTGGCATGCCGTCACCTAGAACACACAAGTTGCAGGACCAGATGGGCTTGGTTCTGGTTTCTTATCTCCTGCACTTGCATGGCCTTGGACAATTTGTTAACTCCTCTCTGCTCCATTTTTCCTCTCTGTAAAACGGAAGCAGAAATAATGGATACTTCTCAAGAGTAAAAGAGGAACTAAGAATTAAAGCGCTTACAAGAATATCTAGCACATCATAAACACTCAATAAATGTTAAAATAATATTAATGTATTCCAATGCTCCTCTCACTTCTAAACCCTCTTAAACTCAGACTCACATCCCTTTTCCCCCTAGTATTGACATCATTTGTGGATTATTCTATGCGTAGTCCACACTTGCTATACCCCTAGAGAAGGGAACTATGTGAATATGCCAAAAATAGTTACTTGCTTTCAGACATTTTTTGCTAGACTTACCTTTTAACAATACCCCCCTTTCTACCTCAGCTTCTAGTAGAATATTCCTACCTTCCCTAAGTAAATACCTTCCAGCAGCATGGGAGATGGCTTGCCAACATCCTCCGTGGCAGTAAAGCCACTTGGCCTTTCAGGTGTGCTACAGAAAATGTTTAGAGCAGATAGGTCCAACTATTTCAGAGGAAAGGAAGGCTGACTTTAGACTGATGTAGAGCGCTAGCATGTGGGCTCTCTCACCCATCTGCAACCTCTCGCTGGGATTCCTTGTATCTCTGTCTGCCCCATGTTGTCCAAATGTACACAGGCCCAATGAACAAAGGTACGTTCAGAACCTATTCAACATCTTCATCTTTCCAGGGCCGTTGGCCTCTTTCTTATAACATCTGTCAAACCCTGCTACCCCATAGAGGGGAACTTTTGAAAGCTTGTTAACTCTTTCAGATAACGAGACTTCCATCGACAAAATAAACTGGTCTGCAAAACTGAGCAAGCCCTTTGCTTATTTTGGAAGGAGCTGGTGTGCACTGTGAAATGTCTAATGTTGCTGTAGAAATACCTGCATCGGTGAGATGTGGATGTGGCATTTTTCAGATATACTATAGTGCATTAAGTTGTGGTGATAAGGACAATATTTCTATCCAGCGTAAAAATGCCGATTAGTACCAGGTTAGCTCTGGAGACAAAGATCCCATGCACGCGAGGATGGGAAACACCACAGACTGACTGCAGAGCTATCCTTACGGAGTCCTGTTTATGTCATCAGTGTAGCCCAAAGACACTATGGGAAAGGCTTAAGAGAAACCTCAAGGAAAAGAGCTGGTGTGAAGTAGAAAACTAAAGATGTGAACCAAGTTGCCTGAATCCAGCAGAGCAGTTACAGTCCAAGTGCAGACATGCTCAAGTGCAGAGCACCTCAGTTCTCTTGAAAGAGTAGGGAGCACCCAGCCCCATCCAGGCATTCAGGAGGGAGTCACTCTCATGCTCCTGTCACTCAGATATCTGACCGTGCATGCACTCACTCAGGTCATGGTCACTTCTGCTAAAGTAGTTTATTATCTTGATGAGAAACAAAACCCCAGATCAACATCTACTCTCAGTAGAAAGAGCCTGTTCTTGGGTTTGTGATGAAGATAAATAACAAGTGGGGGTTTTGTTTGTTTCATGAGTTGTTTTTTGTTGTTAAAATGCTCAAACAATTGGAGAATAACAATAACTATCACACTGACTGAGGGCCCACTCTGTGTCAGATGTTATGCTTGGTGATTTATATGTGGGGCAACCACATCGTTATTTGTCCAAACTGGGACACTTTTGAGAGTGAAAGTTAATAATTATACTGGGACTGCCCTGGGGAAAGGAGGCCATATGACCACTGTGTTTATTATCTTCACTCTTTCCAATAACCCTGCAAGGTTATGTTTT